GGACAGCCATTTGTCCGAAATGGTGTAGGGTTCCTGCCTGAGCAGGGGGTTGGACTCGATGACCTCCAAGGTCCCTTCCAACTTTATTATTATTATTATTATTATTATTATTATTATTATTATTATTATTATTATTATTATTATTATTATTATTATTATTATTATTATTATTATTATTATTATTATTATTATTATTGTTATATCCTGATTCATGGATGTCACTAATCTGCAATCCCCAAACAACAAGCAGAAGGAGCTGATTGCTGATAACAGGCAGGGAGAAGGCAAGCTCCTTCCATATTTAATGGATGGGACCATATTCTTCTCTTGTGCAATGATATTCCCTCTGAGTATAAGGTATGGGGGTAAATACAGTGGCATCTACTGATGTCATCTTCAGTTCTTAAAACAAAATCCCAATGTATTTCACAACAATGGATTTGGGATCTTTACTATATACTTTTGAGAAAGGTCATTTGTCGCTCCTTCCACCCTTATCTGATTACCAATATTTTTCTGGTTTTTTTTAGGATAATCTTGGTTTCTTGCTTCCAAGATAAAAAACCCATCTGCTGTTATGGAGAAAATAGAGCAGGAGAGTTGCTTCAAATGTGGAAATGGAACTGCAAATGAATTGAAAAGGCTACATACAATTCTGCAAAGAAACAAAATAAATTTAATTTAAAAATAAAATCATAATAGCTTGATTTTCCTTGCAATTAAATTGTCGGTCAACAAATTTCATAGATAATTCCTGCAGCCACAATTCCATATAATACAATGCATCAATTTACAGTTCCCTGCTTTGGTAGATCATCAATTCCTTGGTCCTAGTTTTTAATATATTCCTGTTTCATACAAAGGAAATGTCCATATCTGGGAAGACAGAGCATTACTTGCATCTCATTTTCCTGCATTGTTAGTTGGTGTCAGTTCTTTATATGTAAACATTTGCTGGATAAAACATCTCAGGAAAAATATTGTAAAGTACGTTAGAAAGCTTTAACTAACCATATTAGTATTTGAAGATGGTAGTTAAGAATACCTAAGAATAAGGACTTCCGGTTCCGGCTAGCGGCGACAGTGGTCATGCGAAGAGAGTTGTCTCTTCGCCGGCCGGTTCTTCTTCGCCGGTAGACCCTGAAGAGGATTGAAAGTCGCCCTGGAGGGGCGACCACCAATGAGGAGGCTTTTTGGTGAATGCGGGAGGATGGCAGCTTCTCCTGCGGCTCCAACTAACTCCTTAGGGCCGACGGAGCAAAGATCGCCCAGTAAGATGGCCGATCATGCAGCTGCACCAGCCGAAAGTCACAAGAACCTCTAAGCGTAAAGAACCACTGTGGATAATCCGGTTGAGACCTTTCCTTTTCCTCTCTTCACCCTTTTTTTTTCCTGTAAAAAGCCTTTCTGGAATTATTTCCCTGCCTTGAGAGAGCGGCGTTTGTTTGCATGGGAAGAAAAGCGCTGAATAAAAGGACAGAATAACTAACTTTAATGACTATATTTTACTTGTATCTACTCTGGGGTCCAGAAAAAACCCTTTTATAGAGCTCTGCTACCTGATCTAGTTTATATCTGGAGAATATTTCTTTTTCTATTTTTTTTCTAAAAAGGAAAAAAAAATCATTTTATTGGTGTCTGGGAAAAGATTCTATAACCAACTGAGGACATCTTGTGGTGAAATTTAATATTGCAATTGCCTGCTTCTGTTTGAAGTTGAGGTTGGCTTTGACCCTCAAACTATTATAAAAGGGAAAAGATAAAAAAGTTGATGCAGCTGTTAGAAACTGTGGGGGTGGACATTGGTTAACTTTTATTAAATATAGCCTCCACTAAAAGATAAAAGGACTGCTTCTAACCACCATCGAAATGAAGAAACCCTATTTACAACTGAACTGTAAACTTATATTGGAAAAAAATCATGAAGCCACTGAGCAAGTATGCGCTAAAATAAAAGAGATTACTACAGAAATAAGAGTCAGAAACCCTACTTCAAACTTCCAAACTGACTTCCAGACTTCAACTGACTATCTTATAGGCCAAAATATACCAGAAGAGGAATCAACCAACACCAAAGAGGAATTTATATAATCTCTTATGCAACCTATTGAGATTTTTGAAGATCAAAAGGTAACCTTAATTAAACTACATACAACTCCAAAAACAACAGGAATTGATGTACAAACACGATTTACTGAGAACTATGACAACTCTGATAACCAACTACTAACCACAAAACTGGACACAACTGAATGTCTTACTCAGCTGAACCAAACATTGAGACTTGAATTTCTAAAGCATCAAGGGTCTAACCACAAATGAGTCAGGCTCCCAAAACAGAGGATGGGACGTCTTCCCTTGACCCAAATGATATCACAAGGAATAAAGGGAGATTTATTTGTTGAAATAGAGGCTCTGTTATGGAAACCTGCTTGGCACAAAACGAAAGCCAGAATAAGACTGAAAAAGGAGACCTAAAATTACATGTAATGGGTTAAAAAGGCCTTATAGAGATACGGATTGATTTAAGGTTTAAGATTCAGACTTAGAGGCGAGAGGAAAACTCGTGATTAGTAGAATATACAGTATATGTGAAATAGAATAAGAATAATGGAATGAGAATAAGAAAATGGAAGAGGCTTTAGAGATTTGGACTGATTTAACAATTAACTGAGTATGTGAAGTTAGCAAGATGATATTTTGTGTAACAATATGTTTAGATATGATAACTATTTGGATGAGATTTAAATCTTATCTAATGGACTGAAATGATTTTTTTTGTTTTGTTATAGAAATAGATTGACTGATAGATTATATATATAAAATAGAGTAGAGTAATATTTTTAACTTAACTAGGATAACTATTTTGTAGTGGAAGAAGAAATAAGAGAGATTTGTGATAAAATCAATTACTTATTAGACTAAGAATTAGAATATACCTGGAAATATTAGAATGTTATTGTTGGAATATTATGTGTATTTTAGAAGGTGTACCTGAAGTGCTAATAATATGTTTATTCAAGATTAAATTGGATTATGGTAATTGTAAATCAGTAAAGCTTAAAAACAGGATTTGGATCTACATAGATGTAATGTAGAAATGGATTATCCTAAATATGTTATACTATTTGAGGGAAACAGAGAGGGAACATTTAATGCATTAATTTGAGTTATATATATATATGACTTTGTCTTTAGATGATTGATTACCCCATCACCATGGTGTTTCTCGAGCACTTTGATGTAAAAGTTAAAAAAACCAATAAAACTTGTTTATAAAAAAAAGAATACCTAAGAATAAGAAAGATAGAAGAAATATGAGTTATTATAGTTTAAGGCTGTGAAATATATAATAATAATAATAATAATAATAATAATAATAATAATAATAATAATAATAATAATAATAATAATAATAATAATAATAATAAAGTTAGAAGGGACCTTGAAGGTCATCTAGTCCAATCCCCTGCTCAGGCAGGAAACCCTATACCATTTCAGACAAATGGCTGTCCAGTCTCTTCTTAAAAACTTCCAGTGTTGGAGCATTCACCGCTTCTGGAGGCAGGTTGTTCCACTGGTTAATTGTTCTCACTGTCAGGAAGTTTCTCGTTAGTTCTAGATTGCTTCTCTCCTTGATTAGTTTCCACCTGTTGCTTCTTGTCCTGCCTCCAGGCACTTTGGAAAATAGCTTGACTCCCTCTTCTTTATGGCAGCCCCTGAGATATTGGAACACTGCTATCATGTCCCCCCTCGTCCTTCTCTTCATTAAACTAGACATACCCAATTCCAGCAGCCGTTCCTTATATGCTTTAGCCTCCAGTCCCCTAATCATCGTTGTTGCTCTTCTCTGTACTCTTTCTAGAGTCTCAACATCTTTTTTACATCGCGGTGACCAAAACTGGATGCAGTATTCCAAGTGTGGCCTTACTAAGGCATTGTAAAGTGGTATTAATACTTCACGTGATCTTGATTCTATCCGAGATCCCTCTCACAGTTACTACTATTGAGCAAGGTGCCACCTATGCTGTACTTTTGCATTTGGTTTTTCTTGCCTAAATGTAGAACCTTGCTTTTTTCACCATTGAATTTCATTTTGTTAGATAGCGCCCAGTGTTCAAGTCTGTCAAGATCCTTCTGTATCTTAAGCCTGTCTTCTGGAGTGTTGGCTATTCCTGCCAGCTTGGTGTCATTTGCAAATTTGATGAGTTCCCCATCTATCCCCTCGTCCAAATCGTTGATGAAGATGTTGAAGAGCACTGGGCCCAGAACAGAGCCTTGGGGCACCCCACTACACACTTCCCTCCATGTAGATGCGGTTCCATTGAGGACCACTCGCTGAGTACGGCCGGTCAGCCAGCTACGGATCCATCTGGTGGTGATGCTGTCTAACCCACATTTTTCTATCTTGTCAAGTAGTAGGTTGTGATGTACTTTATCAAATGCCTTACTGAAGTCCAAGTAAATTATGTCCACAG